CTGAACTGCTGCTAAAAAGCTAAAAGCTTAAAAGAACTCTAGTTCCCGGTCCTCACGCCTTATATACCTTTCTGCTTCCTGCCATCACTTCCTGGGACTAAAGGCGTGTGTCACCATGTTTCCAGTGTGGCTTTGAACTCACAGAGATCTGAATGGATCTTCCTCCGGAATGTTAGGATTAAAGACCAAAGCAAACATTGTGACCCCGAGAAATGGGGAGCCACTCATTGCTGCCATTCAGGACTTCCTAACAGGCAGTGTTTCCATGTCAGAGTGAACTTGCTCTCAGTAAGAACGAGCTCACCTTGACCACTGAGGCCATCATGAAGAAGAACGAGTTCCTCTCCTGCCAAGACAGCTTCCTGCAGTTGCAGGCAGCCATTGTCCTGTCCAGAGCAGGACATGAGAATCTTAGCCCACCTGTACCGAGAGCACGCAGAAATCTACCTAGCTCTTCTAACCACCACGCTCTTACTATGGCTCTAATAGCTCTGACCCCAGGGCAACTTTATTTATTAACATAAAATTAAAATAACATTTCAGTACAAATAAAATATCACCACAGCAGTTACTTAAAATTCCATTACCATCCACTTTAAAGATGATTTGTTATTACTATTAGAACGTGTGTGTGTGTGTGTGTGTGTGTGTGTGTGTGTGTGTATACACACACACACACACGTGCGCGCGCATGCGTGCTACATATAGTACAACGCCCATGTGGAAGTCAGAGGCATCTTTCAAGGGTCCTTTCTTTTCTCTCTAGCATGTTGCTATGCCGTGTACTCCATGCTAGCTAGCCTACAAACTTCTAGGCATTTTTCCCGCCTCTACCTCCCTATCACCATAGGAATGCTGGGATTACAAATGCCACTGGATCTGCCATTTTCACATGGGTTCTAGGAATCAAACACAACCATCAGCCTTGCATAGGCAAAAGCTTTTATCCACTGAACATCTCACTGGCTTCACTATTGTCTTTCAAGATACTCAAGTTCAGGCACTAATTTGCTAAGTAAAAAATTGGACATTATTTCTAATCTACATAGTATGACACGTTTATTTTGGGTTGATCACCGTGGTGAATTTAGGCTAACACTCATCTGGCATGCACAAGGCCCCAAGTCCAAGAGCTTTTAAAGAAAACAACAACAACAAAAAAAACTTTAAAAGAAGATGAATGTGATGCCCTAGGAAGGCATATATACAAGTATATACATGTACACACAGAAAGAGTTTATTGAGCACATGAAAGAGAAAACAGGTTCTGACACCCGTGGTAGCAGAAGGCCAGTAGACTGACTCAGTCACGGCTCCTTGCAGAGTGGCCAGGAAGTAACAAGCACTCAAAAACACTCACTGAATAAATGAAAAAAAATCTTTGCTTTGTAGACTGCTCTCAGAATTTCCTGATGACCATAGATCCCCTTCTCAGAAAAAGAACAAGTTATACACATGCATAACACTTTGCATGTGATTTTAGGGTCTCATCTATCAAAATCCTTAGAACCCAGTCAAAAGTCCTTGAAAAAAAATTAATAATACAAAAGGAATGTTTTGTGCTATACCATCTGCACATGAAAAAACAAACAAAAATGACTATTTGAAGTAGGTAAGTGCTCTATAAACCTACTACGGTACAAATATGAATATGACATTGAGTCACTAGAGACTGAGAATTAAAGCACAGAAATCATGCTAATAAGAATACTCCTTAGAGCCGGGTGGTAGTGGCGCATGCCTTTAATCCCAGCACTCGGGAGGCAGAGCCAGGCGGATCTCTGTGAGTTCAAGGCCAGCCTGATCTACAGAGCAAGTTCTAGGACAGGCACCAAAGCTACACAGAGAAACCCTGTCTCGAAAAAACCAAAAACAACGAAAAAAGAATACTCCTTAGAACTTAGCCAAGTTAATTTACTTACTGGACGCATTTAAAGGCTTTTATAATAAGGTAGCTTAATTTAAGTCAAATGTGCCTAAGGTATAATTTATACCATTTCAAGAATGATGACTTTATATGCTTTATCAATTAATTTCTATATTTTATTGTGTTTTCTGCCTTTAAAAGGTTTCAGAATATTCACAGGTAAGGAAAAAAAGCCAAAGGTAAATTCCTTAGGAAAAGGAATTGTATATTGAAATTTCATATTGAATATTAAAATATTAACATTTTATATTTAAGAAAACAAGACAATACACAAAGCTAACTAAAGTACAGAATTTTAAAAGACCAATTTAATTTATAAAAAAAAAATCAGGTCTCTTTATTTTTACACTATTGGGAAGAATAAGAGTCCAGTGCTGGAAACCCTACAGAGATTGCTGTAGTGCTAAAATGTAGAACCTCACTTCTAACACAAGTGTTAACAGCTACAAGCCACCACACCAAGCTTGCTGTGGGAGAGCTAGAATATTTTCAATGAGTTATTAAAAGCTCAGCAATAACTATAAGCACGTCATGTAGACCCTGGAGCTATTAAAGGTCAAACCTTTTTTTTTTTTTTCAAGACATGATTTCTCTGTGTAGCCCTGGCTGTCCTAGAACTTGCTCTATAAACCAGGTTGGCCTCAAACTCACAGAGATCCACCTGCCTCTGCCTCCTGAGCGTGCGCCACCACCACCTGGCTAGCAAAATGTCATTTTTAAAGCATTTTAATATCATCTAAAATAACACTGAATGCATATTTTTTTCTAACTATACAAAAGACTCCCTATGCTATGCTCATAATCATAACTATCCACCTGTAGAGTACAATCTTCATACCAGAGCATGAGAATCAATTAGTGGGAAGCATTTATAATCAAATTTGTCTTCACTTCTATAAACCATATACATTGTCATGATACACAAAGCTAACTCCATTAACTACATCTCTAGAATGAGGTGTATTTCTCCAGATCACAAAGCCAATACAGGTAAAATATAAGCTGAGATTCTACACAATAAATTATATTTCCTTTATTGCCTTTTAAAAAACAGATTTTCTTATATATTTTGAACAGCAAAGGGAACAGCACATACAGATTTATATATTACAACAGATCACTGAGCATACAAAGAGACACTTTGTAAACACTGTACATGTAATTAATACCTTGCTATCAGTGGCTACGTCCTTGCTTTTCTTAAAGCTCACACCGCTCTCTTCAGAGCTGGGGAAGCATCTCTTTCTGTTGGGGTCGCAGGAAGGCTGGCTTCTGCCGTCACCACTCTCAAGGGTCTCAATGACCATGTGGATAAGGTACGTGTCGATGTTTTCAGGAACTAACATTCTAATGAGTTTAACTTTATACATATCTGCAAAATATAAGAAAGACAGACCAACACGAGTTAAGGAGACCATTTAGAAACCTATGAGGTGAGCATGATGAAACAGCATGTGCAAGGAAGAAAACTGCCCAAGAAAGCTTTTGTCTTTCGAATGGCAACATCGTTAAGGGAAATGGAGTAACATCATGGTTTCCCCCCAAGGACTCTGCCCAAGCCCTTAGCTCCAGGACAGGTCAATATTAAGGATGCTACATAGTCATTCATTAAGCTGTCTTTTGAGAATAATAACAACCATGCACAGACCCTTTGTTAAAGGAAATTGTGCTTCAATTTCCAAATACTGGTTACAAATTAATTTCTCTTAAAAATTTATTCTCAGGGCTGGAGAGATAGCTCAACAGTTAAGAGCGCACATTGCTCTTACAGAGGATCCAAGTTTAGTTCCCAGCACTCACATCAAGTACTTAAACCACCTGTAATTATAATTCTGGCTGCAGGGAATCTTATGCCCTCTTCTGGCCTCTGCAGAGACCTGTGCTCGTGTATGCATGAACTTACACACACACACAATAAATTCTTTTAAAAATTACTCTTGCTAGGCATGGTGGCACAAGAATTCCAGCACTCAGGAGGCAGAGGCAGACAAATCTCTGTGAGTTCAAGGCCAACCTGGTCTACAAAGTAAGTTCCTGGACAACCAAGGCTGTTACACAGAGAACCTTGTCTCAAAACAAAACAAAACAAAACAAAATTACTCTTAAACTATAACTAATTGATAATTGTGAATAATATTCTAATATAATTACATCAATAATATATAGCATAACAAACTACATCAGTTACATAAAATGGTTATCATAGGTGAATTTCCTAGGAGACTATGTTCACCATGATATGTTTTAATTAAGAATTGGAGGCATGCAGTGCTCAAAGTCAACCCCATTATATACATAGGACAAAACTCTGTCACAGGATTTTGCTTTCAGAATGAAGGAGCTCGCACGTGTGGTGGCAACACAATTAACTGGTGCTGTATCAGTCAGTCCCATTTACACACCGTGGAGCGTCTCCTACAGATAAACTACTACCTGTCATCGGAGTGTATCCTCTCCTTTCCACGTCATCCTCACCTTCAAGGTCAAGCACAAGAAAACGAAGCAACCCAGAACCTACTTATTCATCTCCACTTAGTTTATAAAACACATCAAGCATTCCTGCCACTCAATTCAACTCAGTGATCAGAAGTCAAGAAATTTTTGAATGACACCTTGAAAACAGGAATTTAAAATGTTGATATTTCCAGGTTTAGTTCTTCTTTTCTCCCAAAGACTGTGGCTTGCTACTCAAGGACTCATGCAAAACAGATTTTTTTTTAAAAGGCACAGATAAAAATAACTAACAAAAAAGTAGTGCAGTTGGCTACCTACATACATTCCAGGCTTAAAATGTAAGACGGGTGCTAAGCATCATCTGAGAAAGGACTATGCACTAAATACGTACTAAAATCATTAATGAGATTATCCTGTTAACCCAATGAAAATGGTATTTGTTCTGGGGTCGATGCAACATTCTGATTATCACATAAGTCCCACCAGCACTGAGCAGTACTCCGCTCTGTGCATACAGCAGGCTTGACTGCAAGTTCCCATTGTCTTCAATTTTTCTTTACAGTTGTGCTCTGATGAACATTTTAGTACATGCATTTTTCCGTATCTCTGGATTGCTCAGAGTGGGGTTGCTAGTTCCCAGGTTATATACATTGCAGTTTGATGTACACTGGTAAGTCACCTCTAAATTGTGCTCTAATACTATAGCCATTAACCAAGCGCATGCTACTGAACATCTGGAATTAACTCAAATTAATTATTAAACTTAAAAACCAATACTATACCAGTTCACTTTGTTCAACTTCAAAGTTTCTGAAAGCTAAATACAAATCAGTATTTTTTTGATGTTGCTGTTTTCTCATCTAGCCCAAGTTGGTCTTGGACTCATTGTGTAGATAATAAAGATCTTGAATTACTAATGCTCTTGGCTCCATTTCCCAAGCTCTGGGATTAACCCATGCACCAGCACACTGGCTAAAGTACTTCTAATTAAACTTTAGCATCAGAAGACATGTTATAAACATAAAATGCCTGACTGAAAAGGCTTACTAGAGAAAAAAAATGTAAAATAGCTTGCTAAGAACTTTAGATTAATTCAACATTGAAATCATATTTAGTATACAGAACAGATTAAACTCTTATTAAAATTAATCATATCTATTTAGTTTTTAATGTAGACATTAGAAAATTAAGTTGTTCTTGTGGTTAACATTATATTTTTATTGGGTAGTGCTGTTCCAGAGAAGTCACTGAATTTTCCCATTTTTCAATCAATTAATATAACTAACTATACTGTATAATATGCATTTTCTTCTGTGAGTTATTAAATTAGATAATGAAAATACACATCCTTAATTTTATGGTGTAAGTATAGTATTAAAACTAAATTTTAGAAAATAATCAAAATACTGAACTATAATAATGTTATACTAAGGTTATTTGAAAAGAATCTTACTTCATTTTTGAATAAAATTTACTTCTAAAATTAAAAACATGTTAAAAAAGCTATAGCGCACAAACATTTACCTCTAGCCTAACTACTGATAGTGATGGTATATACAGAGTTTGCATGACTGTAGGTGTCATTGGTAGTTTACACACTTCTGCAAGCGTGTTCTATCTTTAAGCTATGACTATCTTGAAGTCATCCTGCATGACAGCTTGGTCACCTGTATTAACTCTACCTCCTGCCATGCCACCCTCCTGCATATCCCAGAACTTGAATGGTAGCACTGGCTATACCCATTCGGTGTTTTAACGAGGTCATGTCACCCCTTTGTGGAAGCTACCCTTAATTTTCCAATTCCATGCACATAAGAAATGGGAGAAATTATTCCGAGTATTATCTAGGTACCTCATTAAATAGCTTACTTATCTTTTTATATAAATATTTTTATTTTATAATTAATTTAACTTTACGTATCAGCCACGGATTCCCCCATCCTCCCATCTCCCACCCTTTCCCCCCAATCAACCCCCCATTTCCACCTCCTCCAAGGCAAGGTCTCCCCTGGGGAGTCAGCCCAGTCCAGTAGATTCAGTTGAGGCAGGTCCAGTCCCCTCCTCCCTGCACCAAGGCTGAGTAAAGTGTCTCAGGATAGGCCCTAGGTTCAAAAAAGCCAGCTCATGCACCAAGGACAAGTCCTGGTCCCACCCCCTGGGGACCTCCTAAACAGTTCAAGTTCATCAACTGTCTCACTTATCCCGAGGGCCTGGTCCAGTTCCATGGGAGCTCCTCAGCTATTGGTTCATAGTTCATCTTATAAGCATAGTTAAGATACTCAAGGTAACAAAACAAGTTTGAAATTATATAAACATAGACAAACTAATAAAAAACTCACAAAATCATAAAAACACAAAGTGACAGAGTGAAAATCTAGATGGGAAACAAGAGTGCACAAAAATAAGATTTCAATTCACAATTACTCTATTTTTGAGTTTATATTATATTATATTATATCATATCATATCATATTATATTATAAAAACACAGAAAAAATTCAATTTGGGATTGTATAAAATTTAAATTCAAACAAACTTGTTCATTAAAATACTGAAATAGTTTAAAAAGTTACTAAGTTGGCCTTGTCTACACATATGTACATTGAGAACACTAAATGGACTCAGTAGATTCTGTGTCTGTGGGGTGTGCATGTGCATGTATGTGCACATGCACACATGTGTAATAACAATAATTAAAGAAGAGATCATGAATTTGAGATGGGATGGAGGAAGCAGCAATGAACTGGACAGGAGAGAGAAAAGAGTAGAAATGATGCAAAAACAGTATTTGTGTATGAAATTCTAAAAGATAAAAAAATGATTTAAAAATTAACCTTCTAACATCAGAAATTGAAATTACTAAGCTCATATGGCAGACAGTATTTAAAGGCACTAGACAACATTAAAGGGAATAAAATTAATTTATTTTAGTCAAACAAGAGACTTAATAAACCTGAATCTTAACAAAAATTATAATTTACATTTTATTTTGATAGCTTTTAAGTTAATTTTAAGTTATTTGGCAGTATGACTTAAAATGGCATTAGTAAAAATTAAAACTTGGTAAATCATCAATCTTAAATGTGATGTTAAAATTATTTTTGCAGCTCCCTAGGCTCCCATCACTATGCAAAACAGATTGGGGATGCGAAAGAGAAAAGGGTTTCTACTTTTGTTTCTTGTCAAAAGTTCTTTAACTTTATAATCATACAACTTAGAAACTAAATTAACAGCAACTCAACTCTTTACCATAGCCAAGTCAGACACTTTCTATAGATACGTGGTAATGAGTTGAGTTAGAACAGTCCTATTTTGTTGCTGTTATTCAAGAATATTGCTCAACTATTTAGTATGTAAACACGCAAAAGACCACCATAGCTTGGAGAATTCTCAAAGTCGCACGCTTCTATAAAATACAATTTACCATTGTTATCCGTTGGCTCTTCATCAAAGCCACAGGTCTCACAGCCTGGTTTCATCAACCATGGACGGGGTATGGTGGTATATGTCTAGTCCCAGCACTCAGACTTAGTCAGGAGGAAGATGAATTCAAGGGCAGCCTAGACTACACAGCAAGACCTTGTCTCAAAACAAACAAAAAACATGTACTGAACATGTACACACATTCTCCTTACTATTTCTCAAACAATATATTGTAATAACTGACATAGCATTTAATGTTGTACTAGCTACATATTATATGTGATATAATGTGATTTAAAGTACAGGATATGTGTTACATGCATTTGAGTGTTACATTTTATTGAAGACTCTTGGACATCCACAGACTTTTATATCCCTGTGGAGACATGAAATCAATACTGAGGACTGATTGTGTGGTTTTTGAAATCTTCCTTTGTATACACGTACTTATTAACTTCATATATTCTTTTTTTCAAGATTTATTTGTATTTTATGTATATGACTGCTTTGCCTGCATGTATGTATGTGCACTGTATGTGTGTTCATGGTGTCCACATAGACCACAGCAGGGCACCATATCCCCTGGAACTCGAGTTACAGACATTTGACCGTCACCATGTGGGTGCTGGGGACCCAACCTGGGTCCTCTGTAAAAGTAGCAAGTGCTCTTATCCACTGAGCCATCTCTCCAGCTCCAACCTCATAGACGTTTAATTAACTATCAAAAAGGATATAATATAAAAGTAATGAGCTTTGAAGGCTATTTTTAAAATGCTCTTAGAGATTATCATTTACTTCATCACCGTCCTTCACTAATGTCACTTTTACTACGTATGGTGTACCAAGGCGCTCTCTCTGGTATCCAGTGTACTTCTCACAATTCTGTAAGATAAAAATAGTATTCCTTTCTGTCTCATACATGAAAAACCCAAGACCTGGAAAGGTTTGGGTCATGTGCTAATGGTCCTAACCCATGAACTGTCAGAGATAAGACTGACTCACTGGTGTGTCTTCTGCCAAAGCCTTTGCATCTACCTCTCTAGACTAACTCCATCTGTCAGTCCACGGTTTCAGGAAGGCAGCCAATCAGCAGCAAACAGGATTGTCAATATTTTTTTTTTAAAAAAAGGAAGCAATGCTGCATAACATTGCCCAACCATGTTATCAAAATGTGTCTGAGTCCTAAGAGACAATGTATTTCTAGCCAATATTCCAGTCTTTAGCTTTCCCTGAAACAATGGATAAAGACTGATACAACTTTAATCTAAAACCTGCATGGTAAATGCTATTCTCCTCACTACGCCTTCATGTCTAACAGACTGGTCAGATGTCAGGAAGACTCATAGTTTTCTCGTAAGATGACTCACAATTGAGTTACTCTGGATATTTTATCACAAAGTCTAAGATCTGGCCCTTGGGTCTTAAAACTTATGAATTTAAAGTTAACCTTAGCAGATCCACTTTGACCAAGTTCCAAAACTATCAATTCATTAACTTGGAATTATAGATGCATAAGCACCACTCTAAGCCTCAGATTGGCATGTCTAGACATGCTTTCTCTCTACCCAGGTCTGCACAGAAAATCAAATAATAGCCAGACTGTATTTGAGAAAGACTCTCACTAAGTAATTCTGTTGCTTTGTCACTTTACAAATTTTTGGGGTTGGGGACACAACTCTAGTTGTTTCCACATGCGAAAGAATTTCAGGTAATAAAAAGTAAGAATTCACTCATTTTTTTTTGTTTTTAAGATGATCATTACTCTAGTCTAACAGACAGATTTTTAAAAATCAGATGTACCGTTTTAACGCTCTGACTGTATACTTGTGTATTTAAGAGGAAATTTCTCTAATATGCCTCTACTTCTGTAAAATACATCACTTCTTAAACACCTCTGCGAGGCAAGCAGGGGGCTCAGCTCTGTGGCACAGCTGAGGTTCCTCAGTGGGATGAGAACAAATGATATTTGGGGGGGGTGGTATGGATGTGTTTGCCTGCATGTACAGTTATGCACCATATTTGTGCCTGGTCCCCACAGAGGTCAGAAGAAGGTGTCAGAGCTCCTGGAACTGGAGTTACAGGTGGCTGTGGGTCACCATGTGGGTGCTGGGAACTGAACCTCTGTCTTCTGAAGAACAGCTGGTACTCTTCACTGGCGAGCCAGCCGTCTATCAAGCCTGGAGAAGAAGCTCATCTACTGGAACTATGAGGCTGCCATGTCAGTGACCGATGCCACTGACCGCTGTTAGAGAGAGAAACCAGCGGCAGAGACCCAGAGACGTTTAGGAGAAAATGAGGAGCAGTCGGCTGCTGGGAAGGACTATGGAGAAAGATGGAGTTTTAAACGTGCCTGATTTGGACATGAGTGGGAAGCTTATCACCTGAAAAAAGAGAATTTTTTCAGTATACTTTCTGTTGAGGAAGAAAGAATTTCTTTCCTTAAATCAAAAGGTCACCCAAGGCAAGTTTCACCCAAGCAGAAGGGTCAGTGCTGTTAACAGGGAACTGAGTGAAGCACTTGTTTACTTCATTAGGGCTGCAGAGAAGGGCTGCGCTCATCACCTGAGTTGACGGGAGGGTTTCGGATAACATCAGCAATAATCTTCTGAACCTCTGGGGTCAGGCCAGCTCGCTCCATATCCAGGGGGTAGCCAGCTTTCACCGCCTGGGCTAAGTGCATGCCAACCGCCGTGAGAGGCAGGAGTCTATTCTCAGCGATGCCGTGCTGCAGGGGAAGAGCCAAAGAGCCAGTGAGTGAAAACCTTCCTACTGCATCTCACAGGGAGAAAGTAGCTGGCATCTTCAGGCAGCACATGGTCACTGAGAAATAAGCAATGGATAACAATGCTCGTTTTAAATATTTCTTCAAAACTACTTTAACAGACCTCCACGGATTCCACTCTGTATACTGATTAAAACAAAAATCACTCAATTGTAGCCAAAAATGCAACCCCCCTCTCCCTCTGTATTCACTTTAAAAGCTATTTGGTGTCAGCCATCAGCCACTTTATGTAAGTCAGATAACTGTTACAATTGTTTGAAAATATAGGAAGCTGTACTATAAAGCTCCTGAAAGTGGACACGGTGCTTTGGCTACATGAATTTCAAAGAAGACAGCTCCTAAATGCTCAGTGATGATGTACGACTCCAGAAGCACTCTTTAGAAGGGTCCTGAGAAGACAGTAGTGTTTTAAATAGGCTCCATTCATAAAACAGTAGCTACAGTTTAACAAGGATGCTTGCTCACTCTTTTATTATACTACTGACCTTACAATAGTGATGACCAGCTTTGGAAAAGATTTCTATAAAACTTTTTAAACAGACATGGCTCCAAATACATTTACTATATATATTAGGTAAAAATGTGTTTTTTTTTAAACAAAAAGTATTGATACTCAATTATGCTAACATCCATGATATTTCTTTCAATATATTTAGAAAGTCTGAATTCAGGCTGTATGTGTGAATGTTGATTCATTCACAGAGCACACCATCTAGGGCACTAATTTCATCCTTCACAAGTAGGTGTTGAATTGCTTTCATTAAATGTCTAGTCTTTTCCATTAAAAAGTATGTACCATGTGTGTATAATATCGGGGTTATTTGATACTAGGCATCAAATTACCTCCAACTAACTGTATTATTGCTCATCACTAATTAGTCCTCAGATGCATTTAATTTTGTGGTTAACTAGCAAGACCCTCTTAAGACTCCAGGGAGGTACAGATAATCAACAATCATTTTGCAAAATCAAACACTACTGCATAATACCATAAGACATAAATAAAGATATTTCATTCAATGCATCATTAATCATAAAATGTAATATATTTTATGTATTGTTACTGAGTATTAGAATATACTTTATTCACAAAATTTGGAGCCCATTCCAAACTTTCTTGGTAACCATACTCGTTACTGTATGTACATGGTCAAATCATACATATAAGGTATATTCAACAAGTGCACATTACTGACTGCTTACCCAAGATTCAACTGAAAGTCCTACTAACCAGGTATTTTATTTACAAAATAGCTAATGGAATCACTTGGTCTCTTGGCTAATGGCTTTTCTAATTTTAAGTGAGGAACCTGACTATCTAGATATTTTAAGTGAAGAACTATACATTCTTCTTTCCATCTGACCCTAAGGTAAAGTGTGCCCTGATGCATGGTGGGCAGGAAAGGCAGGCTCTGACGCACATGAGCTGCTCCAAATCAGTTTAGTATCAGAGAGGCCACGAACGCAGAGTAGGGGTTTTCATAGTGCCCTATTCTGGTGATCTGTTCCCCATCTCATAGAATAAAAACTCATGAGCCACAAAGACTTATGTTAGAACAATGAAGAAATACTAACTATGACCATTTTTCACAGCTATAAGATTTTGAAAAGAGTGTCCAATATAGTTTTGGAGGAAAAAAATGGAGCAATGTGTGCTGAAAGACACAGAATAAAGAGCAAATTTTTACCAAGTTATTTTCAGATCTTTCAATAACTTACAAAAACAGTATACACCTCATACACACATAAGAGCACACTTTCACAGTATCCACATCATACACATGTAAGAGCACACTTTTCACAGTATACACATCATACACATGTAAGAGCATACTTTCACAATATATCATACACATGTAGCAGCATGCTTTCACAGTATATACATCATACACATGTAAGAGCACACTTTCACAGTATACCCATCATACACATGTAAGAGCATGCTTTCACAGCATACATATCATACACACATAAGAGCATGCTTTTACAGTATCCACATCATACATATGTAACAGCACACTTTCACAGCTTTGTGCTTGGTTTCTGTTAACTTACTGAATTTACTTTCTCTGGCAGTGCTCCAGATAGAGCCCAGGGGCTCCCACATGGTAGGTAAGTTCTCCACACTGAGAGTGCAGGAGATTAAAAACTACACACATTCCGGATTACAAAGCTTCTTGTATTTCATAGTTAATGGTGTGTCGACATCTGGTATTATTTGGCCACATTTTATTTTTTTGTTTCTTAGAATATATACCCTAATAGTTTTAAACTGGTTATAAAACGCTCCTGCTGCACCTTCCCTGAGCTACAGCTGTGTTCTTCCTAATTGAGACACAGTCTCTGTTAAGTAATCGTGGTCACACTAGACTTGCTGCTGTTACCTGACAGAGACAGAAGATTAAAGATGGCACTCACTGTATGACATGAAGTAATGAACCCCAAGTCACAATTTCCACAGTAAAAGCCAAGCAAACCCCAGTGTCAACACCCTGAAGGCAGCACTTACCAGGGACATCTTCTTTTCCTGGAATAAAGAATACGTGACAGCCACAGACTGTGAGAGGGAGCACTCCCCGTTTTCCGCTTCCTGATTTTTCTTCTGTTCCTCTTGTGGTTTTGTACTCGAAAAGAGGTCTGTCTACAGAATTTTAAATGCAGCACAAATAATGATAATAACATAATGACAGACATAATAATACCATCAACATAATGATCAACATTTGACTGTAAGGCATTACAGGAAAACATAACACAAAATCTCTAAATAACCAAGTTTTCATGAAGAATGCAAGAAGAAGCTGAATTTTTTACATGTTGATTTAAAAGGTTAAATATGCTAGACAGCATGCAACAAACTTTCTCATCTTCTCTTTGGCTCATGAGAAAGAATCCAAAAGCAGCCATATGATGTTCTAATTAATGTCTCTACATTAATCCCCTAATCTTCTGGAAGTGAACACTGGACAGAATCAATATACAAGTTTACACAGTATATCACAGAATGGACATATACAGAAACATAAAGAAACATATCCTCACTATATCTGGATATGTATATAACTATATATGTATATATGCATGTATATACATACATATGCATTTATGCTGACATATTAAACAATTAGCTATAGCACACATCCCAACTAGAGCTCTGGCCTTTAAGCATCATGTAAAATCTTAGATAGAGCTAGGTGGTGGTGGCGCATGCCATTAATACCAGCATTCGGGAGGCAGAGCCAGGCAGATCTCTGTGAGTTTGAGGCCAGACTGGTCTACAGAGCGAGATCCAGGACAGGCACCAAAACTACACAGAAAAAACAAAACAAAACAAAAAAAACTTGATAGAGGGCTAGATAGACAACTTGGTAGATAAGAGCATGTGTTGCTCTTCTAAAGGATTTGAGTTTTATTTCCCACACCCACATCAGATGGATCCTACACACACACACACACACACACGCACGCACGCACGCACGCACGCACGCACGCACGCATGCGCATGCACACACACACCAAAAGAAAGAACATTTTATTATAACCATTGACTGTAAAACAATCTGAATCCATTTTCTAAGTGTCCAGGCAGAAATGCAAATGAAGGAGAAAGTGTTGCTTCTGAGGTGGTCAAAAGTGTTCTTCTCTAAGAGCTTCTATAGCCCAAGGGTCTTACCTGAACACTGTTCACTTGACAGAAATGTGTGATGACTTCCAACAGAGGGGCCAAGAGGGTAGCTTTGCCTTCAGAGACACCATCAATCTGTTTCACATTTTCAACAGTAGTTGGTCTGTTGTTTACAAAAGAGGAAGAATTATGAAGAAACCACCGAGACAGAATCACTCCAAGAATACAGTGATGCTCAGCCTCACACTGTACTCAGTAACTGTATACATTTCTACACTCAAAACCAGTGCTTTCTATAGACGGTCACATTACACAATCCTCTTTACTTATAGGTTTGCTATGTAAACAATTAACAAATAAAAGCTCCACTTCACTTCTAACACCACAAAAACTCAGTGAAAGTATTAACTGGTGAAGAGGCCATGACCAGAAACAAATAAGCTAACACCCAGGCTTCCACTAGGTTTTCCATATTATTCACAGAAATGAAAACCCTGAGGTTCTGAATGGGACAGTAAGAAAGGCTAAGAAACTCGGAAGAAAGTCTCCTTCATATTTCTTCCCTATGAAATGTCCCCTATAACAGCAAACTGGCTCACCAGGCCTTTAACTCAATGCATTTATCTGGATCTTTGTTTCTTGAACTTCAGATCTGCTTTAAGTCCAAGCTGCTAGTTAGAACGTTTACCTGCTAAATGTCCGTATTATGCTACAACCTCCGTGCTGTACTTTTAAACCTAAACAACACCCACAGAATCACAGAGCTCAATTTTTTCCATTATGTCCAATATCCAAGACTGCTTAATGTCTCCTTCCTAAAATTCAACAATGTAATTAATGGTTACTCATGTACTGTAAGTATCTTTCCTGCATAGTAAAGAGTCATCTTAGAATCTTTATTTTTTTTAACACAATAGTGAATGTGTAAGTTACTGTGCATTATCATTAGAACATCCTGCATTAAAGTGGTGCCTATTAAGTGAAATTTAATGACAAAAACAAATTTTAAAGGAACCAATAGACAAAACTTTGGAAATAAGTTCTAACCTATTTAGAACTAGCTGAGCCCCTCATTTTTCATGCTAGCTGATATCAAAGTCACAATGAAGTGGGAAACTGATACTTTTAGTCACAGAGTTTAAGTTCTAATGTGTGACATATGTTTATAACTAATTATACCGAAAAGTGAATAAAGCAGTATTCACCACAGAAGCATCTTCAGCAGCCACCTGAAAGCCCTTGATAAATTCAAGGGAGAGGAACTGGCTGGTTAACACAATGGAACACACCATGGAGGAAACGATAACTAAGTCAGAGCGTAAGGCTTTCCTAAGAGGAATTAAGAGAGTCAAGGAATTCAAGGCAGAAACAACATACATGACAGTGAATGGGACATTGCCTAGAAACAGAAGCAAATCAGGTCACAGAAACCATTCCAAAATCTGTACTGAAATGGGGGTGGGGAGGTTTAAGCCAACAAATAGAAGGGCTTGACCTCTAAGTCCAAGAAGTTAAGATCATATAATTAATTTGTTATTAGTATATCAGATGTGAGGGAATGGCCAGTTAAGAGGCCTTTGCAATAGAACAGGCCTGGAAAGGTCTGACGTAACACCTATATGAAGGAAGGTGCAGATTGATAGACATGAGTGTTTAAATGTAAAGAGCTGAAATTGTTAAATAAAAGGAAGAAAGAGAGACTCAGAGGACGGAAAACAAAAACGAGGTTTTAAATACGTCATGAGGAACAACCCAGTATAACTAAAAACTTAGAACTACAGAAAGAAGGGGGTTCAGATGGAAACCAGGTACAGAGGGTGAGTGGGCAATGGATTTGGTTTTATAAATATGATTCGCTCACATGGAGATATGGAACTAAAGGCATCTAAGATCACATCACAGGCGGAAGTCGTGGTCATACTATTACCTAACAACACCTTTTAGAAATCTATTATATCAGAGAGAATCGGAACATGAACAGTTTACCTCATTTTGGCCATATCCAGGAGAATCTTATTTGTTGCTAGAATAGCCGGAGGCACATCCATTTTACTAGCATGTTTCTGCCTTGCCTCCACCAACTTGGCATATAACGCAGTCTAGGAAGAAACAACAGCACTTTTCAAAACGCAGTTAGAGAGAAGTCGCCTTTACTCTTAGAACTCCAGGGCCCACTTTCTCCCGTAGGATGAAAACGAGCTGACGCCCGTCTTAGACTGCTGGCCACCCACTCCTAAGTTAATCAGCACATTACGAACACCTTACCCTGGTGTCCAGCTCTCGGGCTGAAATGACAGGTTGCGAGGAGCTGGAAGATGTTCCTGGCGACTGCATCCCGACACTAAAATATTTAAAAGAAAATAAATATACTTTTCTTCTTCCCTCATTTACTTTTTATTTCATACTTCAAATAAGAATCTTTCCAAAGCTAACAGTTATTCTTCACAACATAAGTAAGACGATTTGTGGTTCAATTGCAACCGCCTCGACTTTAAACATTTTGGATGAGATGATGTACTATAAAGCTATGGTTAAAAGTGCCTCTCAGGTCTTTCACAGTGGTTTAAGGAGAGCATCTACCAGTCTTCCTTCTCAGCCATGTACTATTTATCCACAGAGAAGAGAATGCTTCTCTAATCAACAGGAGCGTGGTCTGTTCCTGAAATCACCGACTCTTGTTAGTAGGCAATAATAGCAAAGAAATAATAGTTACTCAATTTTTTTTCAAAATCAAAGAAGAAAATATATGATAAAAGATACAATTTTGTTTTGGACTTTTCAAAAGTTGTAGAGAATGTACCAAACTGTCAGAAAGGAAATGGACTGGGAGGCAAACCAGATAGCTCATAAGAAGCATTCCTCACTGATAAGCTAATTACAAAGAAAAAAAGCCGCAAAAATGAAATTGCAATTCCACAGGAGATCCACATGGGTGCCAAGAAAGACCAAGTTGCTAATGGCCTGACCTCCCCGATATTGGGAAACGAAGGATATTTGTTACAAGTGCCTATGAAATCAAGCTTCTCACAACTTTCTCCAGGTCTGTTTTCCTTACGAATATTTTCTTCTTAGCCCTCCATCCCCAGTCGCCAAGGTTTTCTTCCGCAGAAGACAGGTGAAAGACAACACAAACACTGACATTGTCAAGGTGGCTCACATCTCTTACGGACTCCACTACCAACACAGAGCAGCCTAGAGAGGAAACACCCTTAGCTAGGGCTTCTGTCTTTGCTGCTCAATAGCGGGTCTCAACTGTCATCTCCAAGCCATGAGTCATGGCTGCAGAAACACCAGAGACATGGGCCATGTCTGACAGGTGACGGGACTAGTCTGGAAGGGTCAAGGAGATTCCCACCTTTCTTCATTCTTAGTCAATGGAGTGCTGAAAGGCTAAGCTCAAGCAGTTAGAGAAAAGAAACAAAGGGATACAAATAGAAAAGAAAAAACCAAATTATTCCTACTTGCAGATGGTATT